CGAAGTTTCCGTCCCACAGTGTTCCTTGTTTCCAAACAAACACCACTCGTTTACATCTTACAGAGTGATTTTGCAATGATTCAATAAACGTTGTAAAGCAGACTTTTGTTTTTCTCATCATCTCTATTAAATACTACTTCATGTCTATACTTCTTGGTCATTATCTTACTCTTAAATAAGTAAATTAGAACTCACTAGTTCTAACGGATTTAAATCGAATTAATTTGAATCTTATTTTAAATTTCACTAAATTTAAAATAAGATTCAAATTAATTCGATGTGTTCAATCATTTCCGCCCCAATACTGACACACAATACACTCCAAAAAAAATGCTGCAATTTGTAAAAAAAAACATGAACACACTCGAAGCAAAAATCATACGTCGACTGACCTCCATTTACATATATCCGTTCAAAATGCTTAAAAGTATTAAAATAAAAACTTTATAGAAATAAAAAATACCAAATACTTCAATGAATGAAAACTCGTGTATGAATTGTAAGTAATAAAGTGATTTAAACGCTCCATAAATAGCATAGCGAAATTTGTTTGACGACCCACGAATGGTGAGTACATTAACTAATGGAGATTTTAAAAATTCGTTTTGGAAACTAAAACAGTTCTAAAACCTTGAAGAATAAAAACAAAAATTATTTAATAGATGTATTAAATACTTTTTGTTTTTATTCAAGTTAATATATCAAGTAAAATTAGTCTTGTTTGCTGTGAAATACAGATAGATGTTATCAGGAACACCCGGCACGCTCAAAGAATGCTATTGTCTCGGACATCGTCGTTTGAATACCATTGCGCGCACCCAACGCTTTCTAGCCATTGTCTGTGGAAGATTGGACGTAGTTCTGCGTATTATAGAGCTTATCAGAAACACAAGTGCATTTTGTATAGCTTCCGTATTGAATAAGTTGACATGTTTTAACTAACAGAGTCTACTTCTGCTTTATGCCTTTAAATAAGTCGCCGGTATATGATGCCTTTTAAGATTTCAAGGAAGTAGTCAAAGTAATAATACAATATAATCACTTTGAATATAGGTTTAAGATACAAGAAGTGGGACCAATTTCCGTAACAAAACAGCCGTCTTACTCGTTTTTAACAGATTCTGATTGCAAACGATTTGCGATATTTCGCTCTCTAAATTGCGACATATCGCTTTTATATCTAACGGCTATTCAAACGAATAAATGACATTGGCAAATTGAAGTCAATATTTAAATAGAAAATGGATAACAACGTTAAATGAAAAATGGAATAAATGCTATAGATACGTCGAGCTTTTTATAAAAGAAATATGGGGAGGCGATTGTTTCTTTACAGTATTCAGGATTTTCTGTTAGTGAAACGGAAAGTAATATTGATAAAGATATATTTTAGTTTCGACAGTACTCATTTGTCTTCTAAATAGTAAATAGGTGTAATTTTTCAAAAATGTACGTACGGTCTTTGTTTCAGCTGATATCTCTGACGCATCGTGACTGATGACTAGAAACACTGTTCGAGATCACTCCAACATGGACTGTTCACTGTACAAACGCACGGCACAGACAATGCCATGTACATTGCTCGGGTCGTCAGTTAGAAAATTTGTAATTGTCTATGTAAAAGTGTTAAATTGTCGTGCAATTGTGGCCGAGGATGTAATTAAGCATTGCGGCTGAACGTGTATCAGTTTGTCGGTTGGGCGCACGACTGGCTGCGCCCGCGCAACTCGCACCTCCACGCGCGGTGTCGCGACACCAGCGTGCAATCAATTTATGTAAATTGTCAGGACGAACCAATTAGTTTTTATAACCCTCCTGGACTCTGCAGTCCACGATGTGTCAAGCCGCATTACGAGTGTTCTAATGATTAACTTTAACTGCCAGAAATCTGCAGTATAAGAATAAAAGTTCTATTCTATTTAATAAACGAACATTCGGAAATTTTGAATCATTCTTATGATTATATTGAAACCATATGTGAAGAATTTTCTTTTCGGAGAAAAAAGCTTTCAGTTGTAATATTAATTCGTACGAGTAGTAGGCATACGGGGCTTTGAGTAACGTTATATCGAAAAACTGTGTAACTGCGAATTACACAATACGTTAAAATAAGAGGTATAATACTTACTGTCAGGGTCAAAACTAAAATGTTAGTTTAACGTTTTTCATTGAATTTATGGTCGAAAGACAGCACACGGTTAAACAAATAATATATGTACATTCTTTATATATTAAATTTATTTTATTTTATAAAAAAAAAACGTCCAAATCAAATCGGATTCGAGAATCAAGTGTTCCATAAAAACATTAAAATTCAAATATTAAAGACTCCTTATAAACTTTTCTGTGATCGATACTAATATTTGAAAGAAAAGAGTTTGATATTGTTTATTTTTTGCATTGAATAGGCCCTGATCGTTTAATATTAAAATCCTTCATTATGCCAGATCTAACGTCATTAAAAGCAGTGCACCTCTCTAGTGGAGAGGGCAAATCTGTGGAGCATTTGTTCTCTCTAACCCTCTATTGCAATGAGAATCTTGTTTTAGCCAAGGCGTAATACAACTTGTTTCATTTGTTTCAGTTCGATGTCTTCAGTCGTGTTTTAATACCATAAAAAGGTACGAAACCGCGTCCGTATTTATGGTTTAATTAATTACTAAAATTATATATTTTTAAGTGATTCATCACGCGTTACAAAATATTTTCCGTTATCTGTTCTTTACAAACAGACCGTAAGCGTGATATCATGAAATTTGAAGTATGACTACTTCTTGTAAACCTTGAATGATGAGCAAGTATCCAGTTTATTTAGAGATTTTACGTAATCTAGGTGCTACATAGTTAGATTTATCGCTGAAACTTTGTTACTATGGTTTAATTATAAGATGGTAATTATTTTGTTGTTCGTGTACATGTGACGCTCTGTAAGGGCATAGCAATGTTACACTACAATTATGGAAGCTTGCAAAAATACAAAGACCTAAAATTAAATAATAGAAATTAAATTAAAGAAGTCAAGAAACTTAAAAAAATAAATATTCACATCATCACATCACCAGCCCTTTTACGTCCCCACTGCAGGGGCTCAGGCCTTCCTTATGGATGGTTAAGGAGGATGGGCCATGACCCTCCACGCTGGCCCAATGCGGATTGGAGGGTATTAACGACTGCAAATGCAGCCGGGACCAACGGCTTAACGTGCCTTCTGAAGCACGGAGTAGCTCGAGATAATAATTTTTGGTCACCCATCCCGTGACCGACCCTTGCGAAAGTTGCTTAACGATTACGATCGCGGGCCACGGCGCTTATCCACTACGCCACCGAACTACTAACAATAATTAAATTAAATATAAATGTATAAATGTATTCGATGTTATTGTTTATGTATCAATAGTAAAAGTTAGCTTATTTGTTATTCCAAATAAAATATGAATATAAGTAGACCTCAATGGCGCAGTGCTTTGCGCGCCGGTCCTAGGATGGGTGACGAAAAATTTACTATTTCGAGCTAAGCCGTTAATCCCGGCTGCATCTGCATTCGTTAATACCCACCAATCCGCATTGGGCCCGTGTGTTAAGGCCCATTCTCCCTATTCGATTGCATCCACAGGGAAAGTCTGAGCCATAGGGACATTCATAGGCTAGTGATGAAGATTAGTAGATCATTTCTTTAATTAATATTTAACTTCATAAACCACCTACCAATCCGTACTGCGGCCGTGTGGTGGGATATGGACCATTTTGCCCCTTCGATTTCATCCATAGGGAAGGCCTGTGGCCCAGCAATGGAGACATTAATAGACGGATGATGAGACGAAACTATTTTGTGGCTTGAAAAGAATAGTTTTTAAATAAAAAAGTGATGCTACAATCGCTTATCACCATACCCTCTTACCCAATATTTGTAGCCCGAACATTCAGTTACTAGATTTTGCTTTCTCTTTATCAATGTCTTTAGATAGAAGTGTCAATGACCTGTCCATGGAGAAGTGATTATCACTCGACAGTAATGTGAAAATAGTCTTTTCTATGATAATATCACAGATCTGAATCATGCGTAAACGACCCTTGATTTAGATTTCCATAGTACAAGTGCTTTAACTTCTTAATTGAGAATATGAGCAATGTGATGTTGTATAATATTTAATTAATCATTACATTTTTCTTGAGATTTTAAAACCAACAAATAAATTGACGAGTTTTTTAAATGTACTGCATTCACAGGTATGTATAGTTCATTTTTGATTGTTCAGGTATTGAAATGCTTACCAATGTTCGTTTTTTATGATGGTAGTCGTACCTACATGCAGCTATATTTAATCTTAGTAAGTTATAAAAGTAAAACAAACAAAAAACATTAAAACCTACTTCTACGAACTTGTTATTTACATAAAATACCTAAAAATATAATAGTGGCATGTATGGAATCTTGCATTGTCCATAATGTAATATACACTTAGCCTATTTTTATTGTACATGACTGCCCAAAAAAAGAGCAATGTGATAGATTTCATAAAACGCCTTATCTCATAACTTCGGTTAGCGATATTTATATCTGTGTATATTTGTTACAACTGTCAAAGGTTCTTTTAATAAATCTATCGTCCACAATTACTTACACTCGTATCTATAGTCAAGTAGGAGTAATGACTAGAATATAAGTAATAACTTTACAAATATTTTAATCAATAAACAAAAATTGAAAGAAGTAGGAATTACTATTAGTTATTGAGTTTTTACTTCATTCAAATTCTCGTATACCTTTTGGTTCAAAATATTTGCGTATGATATTACTTACTAGCTTTCCGTCAGCGGCTTTGCCAGCGTGTTACTGTATTAGACTTATAAATCTTCCTCTAAGTCACTCTGTACGTTATTGAAAACCGTAAAAAAATAACTTGTTTTATATATTATGTAGACACTCAAGTAAGTACTTCAACTGACTATAGATACGAGTGTTAGATTCTATAGGCCCAAGTACGTATATAAAAACATACCTAGTATAAGTATATCGTGTATACAACACCGGTCTGGACATCTTGATTTCACAACAAATCAAATCGAAACAATTACCCGGTAACGTAACTAAAATTTGCGAACTGATTTTTTCCACAATACATCACCGCGGTGTGACATTTTGACGTCTAGTTTGTTATCAACTGATTGGTCGTCGACATAGTTAATCGATAAGGTACATGAATGTTGCTATCATACTTACCTACTAAAAATAAATGTGATAGCAACAATAATATATAAAATTTTCATAGTATACAATAGATTTCCAGTGGCCTATATTCAAAAAAGTTCTTCTTCGTCAATAAATAAAGAAAGAGTAAATAGAGAAATTTGCATAGATGAAAAGACTATCAAGTGATAACAGTGTCTATTAAGGTTTTGAAAACGAAAATTTCCTTTCCTTTTTTTTTTCAACACCAGTTTTTCTATAATTACAGATAGAATTACACTTATGAATACTATTGGGTATATATGGTACCGTGTTTTTCAAGCGTTATGATCAGAGTAATCATATAAAGTGCAGGAATCCAGTGTATAATAATGATTCTAAGTGACTTTGGTAATTTAAAACAGTACGTCTAATATTTATTACAAATATAAGACAAAATAAGAGATAAGAAAGCAACGATAGTCAAACTATGATAGTGCCAAACAACATTTGTTACGCAGATGATTAAAACTAATGCAAGATAACCAGAAAGATCGAAGCGGTGAGGCGCACGGTCCACAGATAGATATATAGATACAAGAGACTTTCTGCTATCTAATAAGCTTCGATCCAAACACGTAATAAACTTTCAACTGTCACTATATGAAATGATGTATATTATTATCCACATCTTAGTTGCATTTTCTAATGATTTTATAAAGCTTCTTTTTATTTTTTAAGGTAAAAATTATACACACTCGTTTACGAATATTTATAAATAACTTAAGAATTCATTAAAACATGGTTTTTATGACTTTAGGAAGCATTTGTAATAATAAAATCTTAGTGCTTTTTGTTATGATATTTACTATTCATTAAAAAAAATATTAGTGACTTACGAGAATTGCACAATTATAAAATGAAATAAAATCATAAGTTTACAAATGCTATAGCTAAATTGTTTTGACACTGGTTTAATTCCCATATATAGGTAATTATTGGTTTATAATATTAATTCAAATATAACTAACGAAATTTAACATTTGCGATCAACAAAAACTTTGGCTCCACATTTTAACGCAAATTATTTCCTGCCGGCTTTTAAAAACATTTCAACAAGGTCATGGCTATGTAATTAGACCCATTCACTGCGCAACAGTGTAAAAAAAATAAAACAGCAAATAATAGTAAAAAACAAAGAATACTATAGCCACAAATGAAAGAGAAAACTCTATACTTACAACTCGACGAAAATAGGAGAAAGCAACTAAACCTGCCTATCTTTAAATTTTCAGGGCTGTCAAAGCATTTTTGTTTATAAATGTACATTTTGTAACTAAACATTTTTTTATTACAAATATAAGATCGGCATAGAAAATCATTAAACAAAGTATTTTAAATGATTTGCTATGCTCATCTAATTACAAAATCGAATCACCCATGAGTCATAGATAATCCAGAGTGATCTCTGGCATTGATCATAAATGCCAGGGTTTTTAGTGTAAACTTTTAATGTACGAGGTATAAGGAGAGTCCCGTGTTATATAGCTAGATAAAGGAAGACAACTTATTTATCTTATGTTTATTTAACAAATGTTGTTCAATATTGTATTAATTGTGTTAATTCTTTTTGAATTCCCACATTTTCGTGAGAATGGCTCGCACTCGGGTCCCATATTAGAACCCAGACTAGTCAATAGGGAAAATTAACTTCTCTATTATTATCTTGAATCTGGGTAGTTATGACTGATCTTTCTTTTGGTGCAATCATATTAATTAGGTATAATGTATTACTGGATCTTTATAAATAGGGGAGGAAAGAATTTTAACACTTTTTTGTCGTGTCTCCTTTAAAAGTAACTGAGCTGTAATTATCTGAGATAATCTTATATACTATATTAAAACTACCACTGAAGCATTTAGTATTTAAAATAGGTATTAGACAGACACTTGATGCCTGCCCATCCTGTTTATATTCGCTAAGGGTCATTAAGTCATCCTGTTGGCATCAAGCCAATCTAGCGAAGTGATAGTCTACATAAATTATATTTCTCCGAAAAGTTTAATAGATAGTTGTAATGCATATACGTAGCAAGAACACGATATTTGTAATAATTATGAATAATATTCTAAGCAATTTCTTTTTAATTAAGTTTTACGTTTATATTTATATGGATCTAATTACTTATGAATAGGCGAGTAATGCTATCAATCCTTAGATTTCGATATTTCTATATTTAAATCTATAAATTTGTAATACCTTACACACAATTTAAATCATAACCACACCACCTTCGTAAACTCCACTTTCATAGTGTCACCATCTATAAGAAACCCAAGTTTGATTCCCAGCACTGAGTTTAATAAGTGATTTTTTATTTCATCTCGGATTTAAAGGATTGTCTTACCTTCATATTTTTTTTCAAAAGTGGAATTCAAATCGTACAAGATTACTTTACTAATGAAATTTCTTCCTATTCTAAAAAAAAATTCCCATCATGATTTTCGAAACGATGAAATATTTTTTTAGTCTGTTTTTATCTCTGTTTATTTCCTGATTAAATGGCAATGAAGTTATTTATTTTTATAAATTCACTGAATTATATATATATATATATATGTATATCAATAGATTAGAATATAACACACTCATGGTATCAGGATTTTTATAAAACGGAATTGATCATAGTCAAGCTTTTAACACCACATTTCGATAAAATATTTAACACTACTTTTATTGAAATGCACAGCAATTCGATGTTGTGAATCACATTAAAGGAACGAGACACTAGTTTTCAGTTAAAATCTATAAATCGCTCGACAGTTAACGATATTTTAATGAAGAGAAGTTTTACAATAAAAATATGGACCGAGTAACGTTTTATGTAACAAATTGAACACCGTTTTCATCTGAATACATTACGGAGTTCAACATATTCAAATGAAAACAGTAACCCTCACATAATAAATGTAATGAAAACAGCTGTAAATGAAAGTACAATATCTTTCTCGTCTTGTTATTCCACATCATATAATTCTATAAGTCATTTACCTCGAATAGAGATAGATACTTATTCTACGCCAGTAGTATCCAAGCGAACGTGATACTGCAACAGGAGTTGGAAGTTGGGTAAGAATTAATTAAAGCTCTCTAGTCTACACTGCAACTTTATACGTGATATTTCAAAAGCGAGTAATATCATATTTTAGTGCAAAACTTACGTTTCATTTTTCCTAACAACTTATTTCGGAAAAGTTCTGCGATTATGAGGACACATGAGTGAGTTCGAATTCGGGTCTGAAAATAACATTAATACAAATATTTTCATCGCTTGGTTAACATAAACCCTAACAGAAGTTGCTAGCTGACGTTAAACAAAAATGAACCATAGAATAGGATATATTTTATTGCTATACTTTGTACATTTATGATTTTCAGCTGTTATTGCAAAATTTGACTACAACAGTATACCCGGTTGGAATGCAAACTTTGGTGCCCCTTTGATACCCATAGAAATTTTAAATACCTATATAAATATACTTAATATAATGAAATATATATATATACTTATGCATACTTTCATTGCATTTTTGCTAGAATAGTAAAAAACATAACTAAACAACAATCTACTTGCGAGCAAGCAACAAAGTTTCTGTAACATAGAAATTTAACAGAAATGTTATAGATTTATAATTATCGATAAGAGTTAGTTATTAGTTTCAGGGTGCCAATAATCATTTCTACTTGTTCCCTTACTGCTCTTTCTTATTTTTATGATGAATCCTAGATATTGGAAAGCTGAAAATGAATTCTTTTATGCTTTATAAATCAACTTCCCATTTCCGATTTTAATAACTTCTAGAGATTAACAACATTATACGATGTTTCTATAGCATAAAATTATAATAGATGGAAGTAGGAATCGCAGTAAACTTGTAAAATAATAATCCATAAGTGGACCCCGTTCTAAAATAGTGTGGAGCTAAATGAAGGCTTCGCATGTGCGCTTACGATTAGCATACAATTTCGCAGCGCGTGGGAATTCGATCCAACCAATTTGTTACATTCATTATCATTTACATTTCAACGCTCGAAGTCTCTTTTAAACTAACACTCTTTTTGTAAGTTTGTATTTAAATTGTTATAAACTTTTATTAAAAGATAAGATCTAAATCTAATATGGCAGAAAAACCAAGATGGCGAACTAACTTATAATAATATAAGATTTTGATAATAAGACTCACTGACAACATTCATCATCGTCAGCACTTTTATGTCCCCACTGCAGGGGCTCCACGCTGGCAAAATGCGGATTGAGGGGTATTAACGACTGCAAATGCAGCCGGGACCAACGGCTTAACGTGCCTTCCGAAGCACCGAGATGATAATTTTTTGATCACCCATCCGCTTATATACTAATTCATTGAAAACATTACAATAGAGTAACTACACCTGTATTATGCGTTTCTAAAAATAAAATATGAAACTAATTGTAAATCGAACCATATTTACGTACGTATATAAATAATTTCGCTATTATTGTTCTTAAAATCAAAAACTTATTGATTTTTATATAAAATACTACCAAAGAGTTTCATTCCTCATTGAAGGATAAACACATATAAAACCGTTGCATCCAACAATGTACATTGTACATTGGTACTCATAGGTGTGTACCAATTGTTGGATGATTACAACAATGTACATAGGTATATCATATAATAATGTTGGATGATGGAGCAACATTAAAAGCTGAATTACTCTGGATGCTGGATTTCATATCGCCTACCATATTTAACATTTTAATAAAGAAATGGTTACTAAAATATAGCAAATCGTATCCCAGTTACATGGTAAAAAGTTTAAAATCAAATTTCTAATACAGTTTCTTCCAATGTACATGGAAACGAACCAGAACGGTGCAATGTTAAGGCATCTCCGGCCGTCTGATTCAACTGATGCGATGCCTGTAACGGACTCCCTTCTGCCCCATGCCACCCCCTTTTGTTGAATCTACTCTTATTTCATAGGGTTGCTACG